CTATTCTGGAAAAGGGGGCGGGGAGCAGCAGCTCATTTGCATTTAAAGACACAGGCACGAAAAACAGCGTGTTTCTGCTTCCACTCAAAATAGGCATTTTCAAAATTATATAATAAATGATCTGTGGAGTATTTTGAGCTGAGACTTCACAGACACATTCTGGGGACACCTGAGACTTATATTACATACTGTAAAAAGGGGCATAATATGTCTCCTTTAAATAGCTCGTCACAAACTCTAGAATATGGAAATAACTTCTGATCACACTGCAAAAAAGTGATGTTTTTCTAACATGTAATCTAAAGATCATTCACTGCAGAAACAAAATGGCATAGATAACATATTAAGTCTTGTTTTATGAGAAACTCATGAAAGTTACGTGAGTTTATGATTAAAAGAACAAATATCTGGCAAGGGATTATCAACATAATTGATTTTTTCATTTACCATTGAAAGATATTTCTTCTTCAAACAAAAAAACTCACTTAATTTTGATACATTTTTCAGAAAACAAGACTCTGTATATTCATTTTGCATCTCCAGTAAATGTATGTTGATTTAAAGATTTTACTGGAAAACAAGACAAAAATAGTGAAGATGATATTGATTTTTTTGCAGTGCATGCAATATTTAACGCCATTACTTTGTAAATGTAAGACTTTCTGCTTTGATTTAAGACCTTTTAGGCTTTAATTTGTGAATTAAGACTTTTTAAGACCCGCAGAAACCCTGAAGTAGCCATCTAAAGTCCAGGACGATGAAGGACGCCGAGAACGAAATACACGCAAAAAAGAGAACGAGAACGACTGAGATGGGCAAATGGAAAAAAGTGAGGTCACTATTACAAGGGAAACATTTCCATTGTGGAAATGTGAAAAACAAATTCCAAACAAAGTGAACAAAAGACAGCGTGAAAGAGAAACAGAGGGACTGATGGGATAGTTAGTGGTTTTCTGAGGCACATGAAACATTTAAACCAATCTGATTGTTTGTGAAAGAAATCATTTTGATCAAAACTTAAATTGCTGCCAAGAACAGCTCTGCTGTGGCTCACGGTAATACAGACTGACACGAGAAGCTCTGAGGGGGAAGAGAGAGAGAGAGACAGAGAGAGAGAGAGAGAGAGACAGAGCGAGAGAGACAGAGAGAGACAGAGAGAGAGACAGAGAGAGAGAGAGAGAGAGAGAGAGAGAGAGAGAGAGAGAGAGAGAGAGAGAGAGAGAGAGAGAGAGAGAGAGAGAGAGAGAGAGAGAGAGAGAGAGAGAGAGAGAGAGAGAGAGAGAGAGAGAGAGAGAGAGAGAGAGAGAGAGAGAGAGAGAGAGAGAGAGAGAGAGAGAGAGAGAGAGAGAGAGAGAGAGAGAGAGAGAGAGAGAGAGAGAGAGAGAGAGAGAGAGAGAGAGAGAGAGAGAGAGAGAGAGAGAGAGAGAGAGAGAGAGAGAGAGAGAGAGAGAGAGAGAGAGAGAGAGAGAGAGAGAGAGAGAGAGAGAGAGAGAGAGAGAGAGAGAGAGAGAGAGAGAGAGAGAGAGAGAGAGAGAGAGAGAGAGAGAGAGAGAGAGAGAGAGAGAGAGAGAGAGAGAGAGAGAGAGAGAGAGAGAGAGAGAGAGAGAGAGAGAGAGAGAGAGAGAGAGAGAGAGAGAGAGAGAGAGAGAGAGAGAGAGAGAGAGAGAGAGAGAGAGAGAGAGAGAGAGAGAGAGAGAGAGAGAGAGAGAGAGAGAGAGAGAGAGAGAGAGAGAGAGAGAGAGAGAGAGACAGAGAGAGAGAAAGAGAGAGAGAGAGAGAGAGAGGAGGGCGGCCGAGGCCTAAAAACACTGAGATGTGTGTTTCAAAGTCTGGGGTCAGTGTGACCTATTTTCTTAATGAAATTAATACTCTTATTCATCAAGGACGCATTAAATTTATCAAAAGTGCCAGTAAAGACATTTATAATGTTACAAAATATTTCTATTTCAAATAAATGCTGTATTTTTGAACTTTCTATTCTGTGAATCCTGAAAAATAAAATGTATTTTTATCACAGTTTCCACAGAAATATTGTGCAGCACGACTGTTTTCAACATTGAAAATAATCAGAAATGTTTCTTGAGCAGCAAATCAGCATATTAGAATGATTTCTGAAGATCATGTGACACTGAAGACTGGAGTAATGATGCTGAAAATTCATGTATTTTTGATTAAATAAATGCAGCCTCGATGAGCAGAAGAAAATTTATAAAAGTATTGTTTTTTATAGGGATGCACGATATTATCGGACTGATATCAGAATCGGCCGATAATGGCTTTAAATGTAAATATCGGCATCGGCCAATATGAAAAACTATGCCGATATGTCTTGCCGATAAGGGGAATAAGTTAACTCACATGTGCTCAGGGTCTGCTTGCGATTAGATCATGTCAGCAGTGTGGCTCATTCTTGAAGCAAAGTTTTGCCTGAATGATGATTACATTCACTGTTTTGGATCGCTGCATTTACACTGAGAAAGCAGTACAGAATGACGGGTTCGTGTGTGATAGAGTAAACAGTGCAGCGGCAGCAGTGACAGCCTCCCCCGGGTCCTAACGCCCTTCGGTAAGGAGTTTAATCTGTAGGGGGCGCTGTTAGCCTACTTCTAATAAAATTAAAAGTAAAATAGCCTACACAAATAACATTTAGACTGTGTTTCTGATTAAATAAATAAAGTAATATATAGTTTATTTATAGTTATTTTCAAAGCTTCAATGTACTGTCAAAAAACCTTCATTATTGTTTATTTAATTCTAACAAATAAGTTCTTGTTAAAAACTAACCAAAATTAAAAATATTTTGCTTATAATTTCTGCACAGGAGAGACTTGGTGTTGTTTCCAAACAAAAGTAAATATATCGGTATCGGCCAAAATAAGTTGAAAAATATCGGCATATCGGATATCGGCAAAAATCCAATATCATGCATTCCTAGTTTTCTGTCTTTCACTCGGCCATCAAAGCACACGCTCCTCAACAAGGGTTTGAGAAAAGGTGTTGCAGAAAAAGTGCTTGGTTTACACCTGCAACTAATAAAGCGCGAGTGGGATTTGAGGCGTTTCTCTCTGTAAAAGCCATTTGGAGCACAGCACAAACTCAGGCACTGGATCCAGGAGTCTCTGCAGATCAAGAGTTTGTTTAGAGCAGACAGCGACATCTAGAGATCGAGCTTTAGGTCAAGTCAAGTCACCGTTATTTATACAGCGCAGATTGTGTAGCAGCTTTACAGTGTTCAACAGGGAAACAGTGTGTGGAGATAGTAGTAGTAGTAGTTTAGGTGTGTGGAGTGGCTAACCTGGTTGAAGGTTTTGAAGTGCAGCTCCTTGTAAAGAGTGTCGCGGTCCTCGACCTCCATCCATCCAGTGGCCCTCAGCTCCAGGAGGAACTGCTCTCGCTGTCTGCGGCCTGAACACAACACATCATTATATCATATCATATACCAGACTGCTGCGCAAACACAATAATCCGGTCCGGCAAACATCATCATCTCTTCAGTGTGATACAAGCCTATATAATAAATAAACACATAATAAGAGTAAACTTTCACTCAGATTGAGAGACTGTTAATAGGTAGAACTGCACATTGTGTTTTCTATACTTGCACAGATTCAAAACTTGCTTCTTCCATGGTCTAGACGTTTATGCATTCATAAAATTATTTTTAAAAAACACTTAACACATAACATTAAACTACCTGTGTATCAAACCAAATTATTACAACGTAACCTCAACATACTATTTTTTTTTTACATTTTGTTGTTTAATATAAATTTCAAACGTAACTGATTTTAGCCTTCTATTTCTTTAAATAATTAAAATAATTATAGCACACTTAAGTTAGTAAAGTCATCCATAGTGTTTTAGTATTGTTATAAAAATGATTAAAAGGAAACGCTTTCATTATGTGATAAAGTGATAATAGAATGTAACTTCTAAAATTAATTAACTTTATGGTTTACGGCTAAATTTACATATAAATGTGTTATAAATGTACACCAAGACAGAAAATATAAACATTATACACATAAAAACACCAACAAACTATAAAAAAATCTATCTATCTATCTATCCATCCATCTATCTAGCCATCTATCTATCTATCTATCTATCTATCCATCCATCTATCTATCTATCTTATATCCATCTATCCATCCATCCATCCATCTATCTATCTATCCATCATCCATCTATCCATCTATCATCTATCATCTATCTATCCATCATCCATCTATCTATCCATCTATCTATCTATCTATCTATCTATCTATCATCCATCCATCCATCCATCTATCTATCCATCTATCCATCATCCATCCATCCAGCCATCTATCTATCTATCTATCCATCCATCTATCTATCTATCTTATATCCATCTATCCATCCATCCATCCATCATCTATCCATCTATCATCTATCTATCCATCATCCATCTATCTATCCATCTATCTATCTATCTATCTATCTATCCATCCATCCATCATCTATCCATCCATCCATCCATCCATCATCTATCCATCTATCATCTATCTATCCATCATCCATCTATCTATCCATCTATCTATCTATCTATCTATCTATCCATCCATCCATCATCTATCCATCCATCCATCCATCCATCATCTATCCATCTATCATCTATCTATCCATCATCCATCTATCTATCCATCTATCTATCTATCTATCTATCTATCCATCCATCCATCATCTATCCATCCATCCATCCATCCATCATCTATCCATCTATCATCTATCTATCCATCATCCATCTATCTATCCATCTATCTATCTATCTATCTATCTATCCATCCATCCATCATCTATCCATCCATCCATCCATCCATCATCTATCCATCTATCATCTATCTATCCATCATCCATCTATCTATCCATCTATCTATCTATCTATCTATCTATCCATCCATCCATCATCTATCCATCCATCCATCCATCCATCTATCTATCCATCCACCCATCTATCGGCAGCAGCAGCTTCGTTCATAAGTGTTAACGGCTCTATAGCGCCATCTGTCGGGTGAACAGGGTTATAGAAATCCATTTCACTGCAGGTTTAACAGTATGTTCTAATCTTGTATCGGTCAAAATAACGCAAACTACACACAAGGCCATCTGAAATACATTGATATTGTGTTTGTGTGTTTGACCTGGTTATAAGTGTGCGTTTACCTACTTTTAAGGACAAATTTGTACCCGGAAATGATGGTCATTTTGTATAAAGATTAAAACAGAGTGTGTGCTTTAATAAATTGTATAAAAAAATAAAAATAAAAAAAGGTCTGTTATCGTATAGGTTATAGTCAAATTACCCCAGCATAGCAAGAAAGAAAGGAGGAAGGAAAGAACCTCCAAAAAAAGATAACAGTTTTGTCGACGTCACACTCACGCACAGCTGCGAATGAAAGCGTTCGCAAATCTTGGTCGAAATGAGAATAATGTCTTACCATTTTCCCCGCGACAGATAACAGCGGGTTAGTTTAGTGAAAGCGCTCGGGGTCAGAGTAAACATTAACCAGCTCTTCTCCACTGCAGGGCTGCCCCGAACGCCTGATCACAATCACACAGTGTGCACCCTAGTGAGGGCCCTTATAATCCAGCTCTTCTCAGGGTTGTAGACTAGAGTCCTCAGCATTAACCCATTAAAACCAACCCGTAAAGAAGGTTTTCATTTATAAAGCTCTAAAAATGTTACTGACTGGTGTTAGACCTCAGCTGATATTACAGAATGGCTTTGACAGAACAGAACTAAACAAGCACACGACAATACGAGCAGATTCTTTACATTCATACACTTATTTATTCTGCAAGTATGTACATTGGAATCACAGGAGAGACTCTAGTCCTGATGCTCGTGTTCTGGTGCTGGAACGAGCCAGCGCATGCTGTCTGAGCAGAGGATGGCATAGAGAGTGAAGCCGGATATGAACAGAACCGAAAACACGAAGAGCCAGTCGATGCCTTTGACAGGAGCCGCAGGCAGAGGCCCGGCGCGGTCTTCCTCCAGGACGGCCTGATCTGGACTTGCTTCAAAACCTAGAGGACGGTGGGAAACCACACAAAGTCACCATGCAGTGCATACACTGGATATGCATCACTTCATCATAGAAACAGCTGCAGTTTAACCCCATAAGTGCCACCAGCTCACCTGTGCGCCGCCTGGCGCTCGTTTTTTCGTTATCACATATTTTAAATCATTTGAAAGCTTAAAACCCCAAAATTCATCCTGTGAAAACCATTTTGAAATCGGACATTGCGTTACCATGGAAATCGACCTACTTTAAAAATCCTTTAGCTGTCTCCTCCCCCTTAGTGGGCGGAGTCAAGTGTCATATTACAAAACGTATTATGGTCTTTTAGAATCAAAAGTTTTTATAATCTTGACAAAATACAGTCTCAAGAATTCCATATTTGGTGGTTATTTTGTGATATAGTAATATTTACAGAGAAATTTAGACATTTGTGTGCATTAAAAAAAATCAATGGCGTTTTGATGGCACCCGGTGGCTGTTTGTGGTATAACGCCCTAAATAAAATCTCAATTTCTTTTATATCAACTTCAAATTTGAAACATTTTATTTAGACAAGGCTTTAATTTTATAGCAATTTTGGATTCAAAAATATTTTGTAAAATATTTATTTTATATAAAATAAGAAAAAATAATAGTGCATTTTCTTTACAGTAAATGTAAACTTCTATAATTTTATGATACTTTCATATTTTGAAATGATTCCACTTGTGCAATAATCTGCAGATTGTCTTCTTAAAAAAAGAGCCCAACCTTAGGTCTGTATTCTAAAGCATTCATGAATTATAGCAATTTAGGTTTGGATAGTGCACTTTCACGTCTATGGTCAAAAATGGGGGTGGCACTTAAGGGGTTAATACGAGCTGTGCTTCTGAGCTGATTCTGAGCACCACACCTGTCTGGTTTGTGATGAACGAGCTCAGCGTTTCCAGCGTTCTGTCCGTCTGGTTGAACCTGGCCATGGGTTTGGCTCCTTGAAACAGCAGTATGTTGGGGACGGCCACCGTGCCGAAGCGCGTGGAGAGACTGAACAGAGCGAGAGAGAAACACAGCTGATGAAGACAGAAGCAGTCTCAGCGGGCCACATTATCATGAAGAACGTCACTGATCAACCTGCTGTGCTGGGACGCGTCGAGCGCCAGGAACTGCATGCTGGGAAAGACTCGTGGCAGGGCGTTGAAGTGCGGGGCGAGGCTTGCTGAAAACTGACACCAGGTGGTATAAAAGAGAACCAAGGAGCATTCGGTGCCGTTGGCATTCAGGAGCTCCATCAGGTCCTGCGGAGAAACCACAATACAGCTTATACATCTTACTGTGAGCTATTCATCTCTGGATATGTTTCAGGTTTAAAAAATATTTTATACTCCTAATGTTTAATTAAAATGTCACGCTCATCTGAGAGCCACGCCCCCACACCTCAACATCCAATCAGCAACAGAGCACAGAACCAAGCCCCGCCCCACGTTTCACTCAGATGCACCTCACAATACAGAAGAACAGGTGTGTTCTACATCCGTCTCATCGTGACTCGAGTCCATCTTCATGAAAACGGCTCAAAACGCATCTCTTTCGTCTTCATTTGACCCTCCAACTCTAGCACTCTCTATTCTAATTCTAGTTGATCTACTTGTTTTCTTTTTTATGTAAACAAAAAAAATTTATATTCTAACTACTTGTTTTATTTCACTATAACACTAGTTTTCTCTATTCTTGTGACTCGTTTTATTTTTATTTAAAAAGAAAGAGCCTCTAACACTAGTGTTCCCTATTCCTTTTCTATTCTATCTACTTGTTTTCTTTTTATTTATTATAAAATAAACCTTAACCAAGACTTATCACAGCATTTACCTGTTACTGCTCTTTTGTTGTTTTGATTGCTTCTATTGTCCTCATTTGTAAGTGGCTTTAGAACAGCTGTTTTACATTCTAATAATATCTCACACTATCACTGTTTTACTGTATTTGTGAGAAATGTAGCTCAGCTGAGCAGAAGAGACTTCCTTCTTTGGTGTATGTTAGCACGGCTTCACCTGAGACGCGTTGAGAATCTGGACCGTGACGCGCTCCGTCGCGCTGATGTTCCTTCGGTCGCAGGTCACTTTGTATGTCTTGGCGGTCTCGGTGAGGTTGTGGCTCTGGGGTTCTCCGGTGTCGCTGTGAAGGACGGCGGACAGCAGCGCTTCGGTCTCGGTCTCACAGCGGCCCTCAGCGCACGCTTCCCCCGCCAGCTGCTCCACCTGCTCCGGATCCCACGGGCCGGCGGCCTCCGCTGCATCTGAGGAGACAGAGAGCCCTGTCAGACCACCGCTCGCTCAGTGTTTCTGTCAGGATTCGGTGTTTGTGTGTTTATACCTCCGTCTGACAGACGCACGAGTCCGGCGAGAATCAGCCAGAACGCCACACCGCGGAATCTGCCCGGTGCTGAGCCCATTCTGCCGCCGCTCACGGACAGAGCTCAGAATCAGTGCATGACTCGCGATGATCTTAATGTAGATGTTTTCTTTCAACGGACTGAAAGAGGAAAGATTCGGCTTCCGGTTCCGGCGCAGCTACGGCGAGCGAGCGGAGTCACGCTACTCGGTCACGCTGGTTATTCAAACAATACGTCGAAACAGGTCGACTAATAATACACCGTTTATTCCTCAAGGGGCGTTTGACGGCCAAGATGCGATTTTGTGTTGAAATTTGAGCACTAACTCAGAAATGAGAAAATCCTTCTTGGCCTGTTAAAGAGAATCCGCCTCATAATGCGGTTAAACACAAACCACTGTGATTGGTCCAGCCACAGAAGGTCCACATGTGGTTTATCTTACTTTTCCGTGCGCTTCTGTGGATGGACCAATCACAGTGGTTTGTGTAATTTAAAATAAGGTATCTTGTAGAGGTGAGGTGTCCAAGTCGCAACATCTAGCTACTGGGGTGCCTCAGGGCTCAGTACTTGGACCACTTCTCTTCTCTGTCTACATGGCATCACTAGGTTCTGTCATTCAGAAACATGGCTTTTCATATCACTGCTATGCTGATGACACTCAACTCTACCTCTCATTCCATCCTGATGATCCGACGATAGCTGCTCGCATCTCAGCTTGTCTAACAGACATTTCTTGCTGGATGACGGACCATCACCTTCAACTCAACCTTGCTAAGACAGAACTGCTTGTGGTTCCAGCAAACCCATCGTTTCATCACAATTTCAGCATCCAGTTAGGCTCATCAACCATAACTCCTTCAAAAACACCCAGAAACCTTGAGTTATGATTGATGATAAGCTGCATTTCTCAGACCACATTGCTAAAACTGCCCGGTCCTGCAGATTTGCTTTATTCAACATCAAGAAGATCAGGCCCTTTCTTTCAGAACATGCTTCACAACTCTTTGTTCAAGCTCTTGTTCTGTCCAGGCTGGACTATTGCAGTGCTCTCTTGGCAGGTCTTCCAGCCAGTATAGGAAAAAAAGAACCCCTGCTGCGTGTACTGCGTTAAGCTAACCGAGACTTGTCACAACACTTACATTTTATTGCTCTTTTGTTGTTTTGATTGCTTCTATTGTCCTCATTTGTAAGTGGCTTTGGATAAAAGAGTCTGCTAAATGTCTAAATGTAATTTATACCTCAGTCGACTGAATTTCATGTTGAGGTCAAAACATACCTTTAATCGATATCAAAAAGTAAAACTATGAAATCAATGTGGTATTTTTCTTTGATTGTAAAATATGGGCTATTCTTGTGTTCTTATATGTAGGCCTATTGTTTACATTGTACACTTCTTTAAAACCATTAAAGCAAAATAATATTCCAAAGTTATTCGGTTATTGGTGTAAAATGAAATAAACAGCAATAAGACTTCCTTGATGTAGTTACAATTTAATAAAACATACACAAACATGTATTTCTTCATACTGTAACTGTATTACAAATAAGGAAAAAATAAAAGCCCACGTCACTGATTATATGAATGTAACAAATATTGAACATAAACCTGCTCTTAATGCCACACATTGCTACTAACAGGCTACGCACTACTCACCTCAAATCATCGTGATATTAAACCATAAGATGATTTTTACATCACTTGTTCACAAGATGCTGACAGCATTCCCACACCAACAATAATCATCAGAGTCAGAATAATCAATACAATACAAAAGGAACTATTACAAGACGTGTGGTGATTGACATGTGTAATTACAGAGCGCGTGTGTCATGTTTCCATCACATCTCCAGTCACGGACCCCTGACCATGCACACGCTATAGAGAGCTGCTGGAGTTCTTTGGTGGAGTGCTGGAATGGGAGAAACACGCTTCAATTAAACTATTGCACTCGTTATTGTGTCAAATCAAGCTTAAGAAACGAGCCCACGAACAACCCAACATGACATGCAATGGACATTCAGAGTGACCACAGAGCACCAGAGACGTATTTACAGCTTCAGCTGAGGGAGAAACGGCCAGACGGCCTGCCACGGTCAGCAGAGTCCAGTGACCTCTGTCTGTGTGTGTGTGTGTGTGACAGACGAGTTCAGGAGTATGATGGCAGAGTGCTGTGGATGGGTACCGGCAGAGCGTTTCTCGACTGACCGCCGTCTGGACACACGGCCGCCAGGGAAAAGGCCTCCGATGGCATGACGCTGATCGGCGGCGGGGTTTTTTGGTTTCTTACGGGGAAGCCGCTGAGGAGGAACGGCGGAGCTTGAAACAGCATTTTTGGCGTTCTAGATGAGGAAGAAAAACGGACATGATTTCATGACGACACACAATCCAAGCCCAATGAAAAGCAGCCAAACACTAACAGAACATACACTGATGGAAAACACTCCAAACATTAAAGGCTTAATTCACAGAACTTTCTTCAGACTGATTAAGCTCCAAAAAGGGCCTCATCAATCCTCCTGGGAAGTTCGTATATCTGAGTTGGGAAATTGTAATTATGATGTCAGGTGTGTTCAGATTACTTTGGTCGGAGAAAGATGGCGATGTACCTTTTCTACAAAAAATTCAGTGAGATTTTTAAGCTCTACTTCTACAAAATGATGAATAAAGGATGTGTGTCAGTGTTTTTTTGCTTTGTTTTTATTCAATTTATGAAGGTGCTGTAAAGCAAACTGTTATATATTTTGTTGTTCACGAGTTCGCCTGCCCATCCAGCCCTGATGGTTAAAGGGATAGTTCACCCTAAAAGCCCACGTCACTGATTATATGAATGTAACAAATATTGAACATAAACCTGCTCTTAATGCCACACATTGCTACTAACAGGCTACGCACTACTCACCTCAAATCATCGTGATATTAAACCATAAGATGATTTTTACATCACTTGTTCACAAGATGCTGACAGCATTCCCACACCAACAATAATCATCAGAGTCAGAATAATCAATACAATACAAAAGGAACTATTACAAGACGTGTGGTGATTGACATGTGTAATTACAGAGCGCGTGTGTCATGTTTCCATCACATCTCCAGTCACGGACCCCTGACCATGCACACGCTATAGAGAGCTGCTGGAGTTCTTTGGTGGAGTGCTGGAATGGGAGAAACACGCTTCAATTAAACTATTGCACTCGTTATTGTGTCAAATCAAGCTTAAGAAACGAGCCCACGAACAACCCAACATGACATGCAATGGACATTCAGAGTGACCACAGAGCACCAGAGACGTATTTACAGCTTCAGCTGAGGGAGAAACGGCCAGACGGCCTGCCACGGTCAGCAGAGTCCAGTGACCTCTGTCTGTGTGTGTGTGTGTGTGACAGACGAGTTCAGGAGTATGATGGCAGAGTGCTGTGGATGGGTACCGGCAGAGCGTTTCTCGACTGACCGCCGTCTGGACACACGGCCGCCAGGGAAAAGGCCTCCGATGGCATGACGCTGATCGGCGGCGGGGTTTTTTGGTTTCTTACGGGGAAGCCGCTGAGGAGGAACGGCGGAGCTTGAAACAGCATTTTTGGCGTTCTAGATGAGGAAGAAAAACGGACATGATTTCATGACGACACACAATCCAAGCCCAATGAAAAGCAGCCAAACACTAACAGAACATACACTGATGGAAAACACTCCAAACATTAAAGGCTTAATTCACAGAACTTTCTTCAGACTGATTAAGCTCCAAAAAGGGCCTCATCAATCCTCCTGGGAAGTTCGTATATCTGAGTTGGGAAATTGTAATTATGATGTCAGGTGTGTTCAGATTACTTTGGTCGGAGAAAGATGGCGATGTACCTTTTCTACAAAAAATTCAGTGAGATTTTTAAGCTCTACTTCTACAAAATGATGAATAAAGGATGTGTGTCAGTGTTTTTTTGCTTTGTTTTTATTCAATTTATGAAGGTGCTGTAAAGCAAACTGTTATATATTTTGTTGTTCACGAGTTCGCCTGCCCATCCAGCCCTGCTGGTTAAAGGGATAGTTCACCCAAAAATGAAAATTCTGTCATTAATCACTCACCCTCGTGTCGTTCCAAACCTGTAAGACCTTCGTTCATCTTCGGAACACAAATTAAGATATAAATTATATCATTGTTTTCTTTGCGTACAAAAAGTATTCTTGTAGCTTCGTAAAAATTATGGTTGAATCTCTGATGTCACATGGATTATTTTAACGATGTCCTTGCTACGTTTCTGAGCCTTGATCGTGTTAGGATCCTTGCTGTCTATGGAGGGTCAGAGAGCTCCTGTTTCTTTAGAGAAAAGTATTATTTTTCCTATTTTTACCCAAAATAGACACATGTGACGTAATGACTGTTTAATTCACACTGGAAGCCGGAGGGCGCTCTCGTGCAGAAACTGCACATATGCATCGCAGAAGTAATACTACTGACCACGCTCCAGGAAATCCCTAATATGGACAAAGTTATGCAGTTATTGCTGAATAAAACATACAATTACACAAAATATATGGTTTATCTGTGTGCTTCAAGCAATCTTGTATATTTTTTATAAAAAAAGTATATTTATAATGAAATGCTAATCGACAAAGCATTTATCACTGTATATAATACTATCATTCTGTAATATGAAACCACGTCTGGTCACAAAAAGAAGTTATTTCAAACACTCAACTATGTTATTAAGTTAATTTGGAGAAAAAGCATGTCAATAAATGATATCTTTGTTGAACAACAGGTTTGTAAACAGGCTCATACACATGCAAAGCTGTATCGCACACGTGCTACTGTACTACATTTATACAGCCCTGACCAAACCAGTTCCAGACTGTAGAACGAGCTCCTCGTTTAGCAATAAACTCGTATCAATTTCACGTTCTCCTTCCGCAATGCCGCTCCGCACGGTCGCACACAGAAATGTCAACAAGACTTTATCGTTATTATCGCGGGAAGACTAATTCTTATCGTGGGGAGAATTTTTACCGGTATATCGCAAGCGATAAGACATCGCCCATCCCTAGCGGAGGCTCGAACCCGAGGCTCGGCTTTAGCGCTGAGTTCAACCCCCCATAGCGGTTCTGCCCAGAGAGAGAATAACAGAAATGCAGGAGGAGCTGGGGAGGTGGAGGGATGCTGGGACGGAGCGATGACTGCTGCTTATAGAGGCTCGTGATGATGATTGACAGGACTGAATGATCAGGCTCCTCCTGAACCTACGTTTGGAACTTCATTAATTGTTCAATACTTTTGTTTTGTACATTTGACTTAGATTTTTAAGTTTAATTGTAAATTTGAAAAATAATGATTTCATTCAACAGATAATTTAATTATAAGTTGTAAGTCACTTTGGATAAAAGCGTCTGCTGAATGACTAAATGTAAATGTAAATCCTGAATTCAGGGATTAGAGGAAGATTCTATTTTCACACTTATATTCACAACACTGCAGTGGTGTCCATGTGCGATAAACTCGTAAATACAATCTTTACAACTTGACTTGAACATAGCATTTTGTGTTACACACAGAAGCAGAAAGCTTGATTGAGGATGCATTAAGGGTAAAGGAATAGTTCAGCCAAAATGAAAATGTGCTGAAAATGTGTTCACCCTCAGTTCATCTGCTGTGGATTACTTGTGGATTATTGTGATGTTTTTATCAGCTGTTTGGACTCTCGTTCTGACGGCACCCATTCACTGCAGAGCATCCATTGCTGAGACACTGATGCAATGCTACATTTCTACAAACCTGATGAAGAAACAAACTCATCCTAATCTTGGACGGCCCTGAGTATGAACACATTTTAATCTCGGCTGAGCTACTGCTTTAATGTAATACGAGGAGTGAAGGGTGCTGTTACTCTGTGGTTGTCTCCTCCTTCAGCGCAGCGTCACAGGCTCCAGGTTTGTGCATGATGCTGTAGGGAAACGCGGCTCCGCTGCAGGCGCTGTAGCTCAGTTTGCTCAGGCGCAACTGGCTCCTGATGCTCCCCGGCGGGCGACCGGGACTCACTTTATACCCCGCGGCTTTGGTGGTGCCCAGCGGCCGCCCCGGACTGGTCTTGAAGCCGGCAGCCCTGGTGGTGCCCAGAGGTCTGCCTGTGCTGGTTCTGTATCCGGCTGATTTGGTGGTGCCCGCCGGACGCCCGCGTTTCCCAGACCTCCCGGACGCACTCTTCTTCTTGGAATCGCTGCTCTTGTCGTTGGCCTGAGCGGCGGCGGGCCCCGGGGACAGCGGTGGCTCCTCGCGG